ATCTTAATCCCATGAAATTAAATTTAAATTCTAATTTATCCAAAATTAAAACTCCGAAAGACGAAAAACCAACAATTAAGGAGAAATCCAAATGACCTTTCAATTTCATCTCTAAACTATATGGATTCAATACTTTTAAAATAAAGAAAAAAAACTATTGAGTAAGAAAAGTACCTCAAAATTTGAATCTGGATTGAAGGTGCAGCGACCTTGGACTATTTTTCTAAAGGAGTCATAATATTTAAAAAAAAAAATTAAAACAACATTGTTCGACAATTATTAAAATAATTGAGAAAGTCTACTTTTCCCTACCCTTTCTCAAAAGAGTCGGGAGTTGTAATATTTAAAAATAATTAAAAAAATATTACCGTCACTATTTTAAAATGGTCGGGAATATTAATATCTCTCGACTATTTTAAAAATAGTTGGGAAATGTAATATTTGAAAAAAAATTAAAAACTAAAAATAGTCGGGAGTGAAAATTAAAAAAAAAAAGTTAAGAACAAATTTTGTCTGACTATATAATAAAACAGTCGGGAATATAAACCTCTCCCACCTATTTCAATAAACCGTCGGGAGTAGTAATATATAAAAACAAAATTTTACCCGACTATTAGGCAAATAGTCGGCAAAGTCCCGACTATTATTCTTTAGTCAAGAAAAAGATGTCTGCCCAGCGTCGAGAATAAAAGCGTTAGAAAAAACTCATAATTCTTGTAGTATCGGCGATCGATTATGTGAATTTTCGTCATCTAAGTAACGGATCTTGAACGACGGTGCGAGGAAGATGAAGGATGATGGCGTTTTATTTTTTAGTACAATATGTGGAGTGGTGGATCGAAATCACAACCTCTTGGTTTACAATCTATGTCAATTACTGTTGAGTTATACTTAGTTTGACATAAAATAAATTTATTTTGTTGGTGTTTGGTGTCCATAAGTCTTACTGGTGTTGAGTTCAATTCACATAAGAAATTAAATATGTTATCATTTATATATTTAAAATTTTTCTTTTTTTTTAATAAATATATCTACTAAGTTTTTATTTTTCATTTTATTGAATAAAATTATGACTTTTTTCTATTTTCTTTCCAAAAGTTCATATTAACATTCTTAAAGAATCTAATGAAAAAAAAAACAAAATTTCAAAACTAAAATTTAATTAAAAAAATTTATCTAAAATTCAAAATTCTATGTTATAAAAAATTTAAAGATTCATGAACCTAACTAGTTCCAATTTAAACCAAAATGAATTCCTAAGTAGTCGATTGAGCGGACTACATTTCATTCCAATTAAAAAAAAATTCAGGTATAATTTAAATATGAATATTTTATTTAGGAAATGCTTAGTGAAACTAGAGTTAACTTATATTATTTTATGTTCATCATCATATTTTAATTTTCATGATGAATTAAATTTATGCAAGGAAACGTGGATACGATATATCTATTTTAAATGGAAAATATAATTAAATTAATTTTTTTATTGTAAAAAGTAATTTTTTGTACAAATATAATAATAGAGAGTTAAAAAAATAATTGAAATCCACTGGACTCAAACTCGGGATCGAAGAAGAAGGGCACAATTACGTAGGGTAAGCAGACCACTAAACCAAATGCAATTTTCCACTTATTTCATGGAGTATTTGGGGAAACTATTAGTCATAAATCTATACTCACTACGATTGGAGAATCTCGAATTAAGTAATATCATCCATAAAACTGCAGTTTTTTCGACTCAAATGAAATGCGCTCAAAATCATTTGTTACACATTTTGTATGTCATAGATTTTCAAGATGGTCTAGGTAACTGTCACGGAATACTTGAAATTTTTTAATTTTTCTTGACAATTATAAAATGTCATAAAACATGAAAATTTTCGTAGATCACCGTTTTTTCCTGCTAAAATCGCGTCTCCACCATTTCGTGACTGTTTTTCACTGTCATTGAAAATTCGGTTTTCATGAGAGTTTTAATTGTCATAAAACTTACAAAATCCGAAAAATAGCGTTTGTTCCTGCCAAAAACACGCCCCCATCATTTATGACAGTTTTTTTCTCCTCCAAATTTTTTTACTGTTCACAACTGTCATGGAAGACCACTTTTCTACCGGTGTATTCAGGACCAAAATGAATACAAACATGTGAACCACAGTATTTTGAAGACTATCTATGTAATTATTATGGGTTTGATTTACACGAAAGTTAGCAGTTTAAAATCTTTTATCTACTGATCAGCGATGTAAAGTCTATAGTTTTTACTAAAGAAAGTTCAAAGTCTCAAACCAGTACTTATCCTGATATAATTATTCTTGTTGAGTAATCCTACATTTTTTAAAATAAATTTTATTCATGTGGGACATTTTTGGATTTTATGAATAAGATTATTTTTAACAAAATGAAGAATCACAACTTTTCATGAAATGATGTATATTTTGTAAAGGACACAACCTTATATGAAAGAATATGTTCGTTTATCAAAAGACATAACTTTACATGAAAAAATATGATTATGTGAATGATCACAAATAGTCTATAAATATGTAGCTCTTGTCTATTTTGAAACAGGAAATCTTCACTCAAATTCTTCTTCCATTTTCCTCTATATGATTACTTAATTACTAATGGTTCGTTGAGTCCTGTACGTGAAGTCCTGCATTGATAGGTTGGAAATCCGTCCTATCCTGGAAGACAATTGTTTATGAAACCTTGAGCACTATAGAGGGAACAAAATTGTCTTAAGGTAACAACGCTACTATTGGGTTCAAATTGATTAATTTCATGTTTCCTTAATTTCTCTACATATTTCTCTAACACATTTATGTGCATGAATACTTAAATATTTAGTAAATATCATCACTGTTTTATGTTGAAAAGAAGTTGTTTAAAGAGAAAAACGATTATGTAATATATATAAATTCATAACAACATGCATAAAATAAATGGATGGCTAGAATTTAAGTTCAAAGTATAGAGAAAAGTAGGGTAAAACTATGCTAAAATTAATCCCCCTACAGCTTGATCACTTGATGAAGTTATAGAACTCATGGAGTTGGTTGGGAGGTTGAGCTTGAAGGAAATTCTTCTAAAATCGCACCTCTTCAAGTGGTGAATTGAAATAACCATTTTGACCAACTGAGTCAAATGGGATCTGTAGAAGAAATGGTCAAAAAGCTCTCCGAGCTTATATTTCATTTAATCATTGAGGATATTGAAATGCCATGTTTTCATTGAAAAACATAGAAATTCCTAGGCATTAGAGTCAAAATGCTAAAATATGCTGAGATATGTATAGATGGAGTATGATTTAATGAAAATACACCATGTTTGATCAGAGAATGACCAAGTCTCCAAACTTCAGATCGACCAGGACGAGCTAAAGAAAGATCTCTAGATGCCGTGCAGAAGATTTGCAAAACAGAGTAGAAACTCCAATGCTAAAGTCAGTAAGTGTCCAAGCCAACTCAAGAGAGAGAATTGAGTTGCTTACGTACCTTAAAACAGAGAAATTGCCCTATTTATAGGCAAAATGACTCTTTAAGGTTGCCGTGAAGTGCGGCATGGTGTCGTGAAGTCTGTCAGAGAATAGGCTGAGCCGAAGTGGTCCAAGTAAGGTAATTGGTCGGCTCGACAGTCCCCGAGGGTCGGTTCGACACGAGGAATCAATTGAACAACTAACTATAGCACGCCACGTGTAGGCTGATGATTCACCTCCAACACACCATTTGGACTCAAAATAAGCTCTTTAAAGGTATTTTCATACTGAACAAAACTTTAACTAACATGAATTAACCTCATTTACCCTTGAAAACAAGGGTTTATCATATCTCTACAATTCAAGAGGTGTCTTTTTGTGAATGGATGTGAATGGACTCACCCATTTTTTGTGTAACCAACCCATTGGATTAACTACTTTCAACGGGTAACCTAACTCGCACCGCTTCGACCAGTCACATCTCATCGACATCAAATTGAGTTGTCACACTTATTCAGTGGCCTTTTTGGATGGCTGATGTGTAATGAGATTTATGTTTCTAATTAAAGCAATGTAGCCCTCCATAATTTTCTTCTAAATGCTTATCTTTTTTAAGCACTTTGAAGATTCCAAACACCAAAAACATGATTTTAGTTTAATGATGGATTGTTCTCATTAACTATATATTAAGGTTCACATTAAACTCATTAATCAGATTAACGAGTTTCAAAACCTACTAGATTATGTCCCATTAAATGTACCCAAAATCATCTTTTTCAAACAATCCCCTAAATGGAAGAGACAATAAAGGAAAGATGAAAATAAGAGTTTATTTTGGAAGATAACTTATCTGTAGTCTTAATTATTGACAGAGAAATGAGGAAGTGAGGGAGTGTAAATTTCATTCAATAATGCTCTATATAAGTACACACTCTAATGCTAAAACTAGACTCAACTATCTCTACAGAATTAGCAACTTACTCCACTTACTCCTTACAACTTAAAAGACTTGATTACAACTATAAATAACATCAAAACTTCCTCGAAACTAGGTAGTGTACTGGATCAATTAAAAACTAATTTGCAGCTTGAGTTACTAACATTCTCTTCCCGACTCAAATACTGCAAATACCTAGCTTGCTCTTAAGAGCTTGAAAACAACCCATGCAGCTTGAGTTACTAACATTCTCCTCCTGACTCAAATACTGCAAATACCTAGCTTGTTCCTAAGAGCTTGAAAACAACCAATACTAAAAGACTTAGTGAAGATATCTTCTATTTGCTCCTATGAGCTACAATGCACCTACTGAACTTTTCCTTCCTTTTGCATTTCTCTCAAAACATAATAATTGATCTTAAAATGTTTGGTCCTTCCATGAAAAACCGGATTCAAGGAAATAGCTAGAGTGACTTGATTATCCACAAACATCTTCACACTCTATTCTTGCTTCAGATGCAAGTCATGCATCAACTTCTTCAACCAAACAGCTTGGTTGACTGCTGCCATTGCTACAATGAACTAAGCTTATGCAGTTGACTGAGCCACTATATCTTGCTTTTTTAAACACCATGAAGAAACACCCTGAGCCAAAAGTGAAACAATAACCAAAAGTGTTCTTATATCATCCAATGACCTAGCACATTCACTATTTGAGTAACCTTGCAACTCAAAATTTTCAACTTTATTGAATTTGATCCCAAAAGAAAGTGTGTCTTTCAGATATCTCATAACCCTTTTTCTAAAAACCTTATGATTCTTGCTTGCACAATGAAGAAATCTAGATAAAACACTTCCAGTATACATGATATCAGGTCTAGTGGATGCAACATACATGAGGCATCCAACTAGACTTTTGTACACATTCTCATCTATAGGTTCCTCTTCGTCGTCCTTTTGCAACTTCTCCTTAAGAATCATTTGAGTGTTCACAATTTAACACTCCTCCACATTGAACCTCTTCAATATCTCTCCCTTATTGCCAATTGGTTTTGAGATGGAACCTCATGAATATTAATATGGTATCAAAGCCCAACAAGCTCAAACGAGCATCCGGTCAAAAATGGGATCCGACCAATATCGATGAGCCAAAAGAGCCACGATCTTGAAGGGGCATGTTAAGGATCCCACATTAAAAAGATAAGGGACCAAACAAAGGTTTATTAATAGGCATGGGTTACTCCTCTCATTGCCAATTGGTTTTGAGATGGACCCCATTGTAACCTTTCATAAAACTGATGAAAAAATAATTTGCATTGATACTAATTGAAGTACAATAAGGCCTTTAAATGCAGAAGATGACTCTAATAATAGAATAACAAGCTAACTATATTACACACCAATAGCCAACTGACTATTATACATAACATCCCCCCTCAAACCCATGCTTAAGATAGCATGAGTTTGGATTTAAGTAGAAGAAATCTAGCAGCACTCAATGACTTTGTGAACAAATCCACAGTCTGATCAGAAGTAGAAACATAACACGACTGAATATTTTTTTGAATCACACGCTCCCGAATGTAATGGAAATCAATCTTGATATGTTTCATACGACCATGTAGAATCAGATTACGGGCCAGTTGAATAGCAGATTGATTATCACACCAAAGAAGAGGAGGATGCAAGCCGGAAATATGAAGATCACACAGCAACTATCGTAGCCAAAATAACTCAGCAGTTGTAGTAGCAAGAGCACGATATTCCGCCTCCGTTGAGCTTCTAGAGACAATAGCTTGCTTCTTAGCAGACCAAGAAATCAGATTAGAACCAAGAAAAATAACAAAACCCGTGATAGATCGCCAGTCAAAAGAATCACCGACCTAATCGGAGTCAGAGAAAGCAGTGAGTCTTAAGGCTTCAAAAGAACAGTGCCTGAAACTAATACTAGAAGAAAAGGTGCCGACAACAAAGCGAAGAACACGTTTGGCTGTAGATAAATGAACAAATGAAGGGGAATGCATGAACTGAGACAATTTGCTCACAGAAAAGGCAATATCAGGTCTGGAAAATGTTAAATATTGCAAGTCACCAATAATGGTTATGTAGTGAAAGTGCATCAGTAGAAGAACAATGCTGTTGGACCCCAAAATCAGTTTTAATAGGCACGGGTGTGGAACAAGGCATGGCAGCAACCATGCCAAAATGAGAAAGGAGATCTCGGGCATATTTAGCTTGAGAAACATGAATGCCAACAGTAGTTTGAGCCACCTCTAAGCCAATAAAGTACTTAACACCACCCAAATCGGTCATATCAAACCGCAACCGGAGTTGAGAGATAAAATCATCAATATAAGAACTGTTGTTGCCTGTGACAATAATGTCATCAACATATAATAACAAGTAAATGTTCCAGCAGGCTAATGCACAAACAAAGAATAATCAGCAATGGAAGCTTTAAAACCAAGTGTCAGTAAATAGGAAGTAAAACATTCAAACCATGCCCGAGGTGCTTGCTTCAATCCATACAAGGACTTCAAAAGCCGGCAAATATGATTAGGAAAAGATGGATGAATAAAACCTTGGGGTTGTTGCATATACACATCTTCGCTAAGATCACCATGAAGAAATGCGTTTTTAACATCCAATTGGCGAAGAGGCCACCCAAATTGTGCTGCTAAAGAGAATATAATAAGAACAGTGGGTTTCTTAATAACCAGACTGAAGGTTTCTTCATAGTCAATACCTTCTTGTTGGTGATACCCTTTAGCAACCAGGCGAGCCTTATGTCGAGCAATAGAACCATCTGGATGACGTTTAACCCGATATACCCATTGACAACCAATGACACTCTTGCCAGGAGGCAAAAGGGTAAGTTCCCAAGTACGTTGTTTAACTAAGGCATCAAACTCTTCAACTATAGCTTGTTGCCAAACCTGAAGCAAAAAGGCTTTAGAAAATGAAGAAGGTTCAGATTCAGAAGTAGGGGCAACCGTGGCAACAAAAACCTTCTTCTTAGAGATATTGAATTTGGCTCTTGTTCGCATGGGATGAACATTAGTGGAAGAAGGAGCAACCGGTAAAGAACCATTTGGAGCAATAATAGCATCGGAATCAGAAATCTCAGTAACATTGGGTACAACAGAAACATTGTACCATGAACAACATTAGAATCAGCCAGTACAGTAGAAACATTAGAAGGATCAGAACCATGGGCAGATGCAGATGAAACATAAGGGACATTAGAAATAGAATTAGTATAATTTGAGGTAGTGGTAGAAGATAAAGAATTTGTGGCAGTAGCGCAAGTAGAAGGAAAAGAAGAAAGAAAAGACAAGGAAAGAAAAAGAGGCAACAAAAAAGGAGAAGAAGAATTGGAAGAAACATGAGAAATAGAGGAAGAAGAAGTGGTGGAAGAAAATGAAAAAAAAGTCTCATAAAAAACAATATGTCTAGAACTATAAAATTTGCCAGTATTTATGTTGTAGCACAAATAACCCTTATATTCAAGAGGATAATCGAGAAAAACACACTAAGATGTTTTAGGTTGAAGTTTGTGAGAATTATATGGTTTAAGAAGAGGATAACAAGCACAACCGAAAGTTTTAAGATGGTTGTAATCAGGAAGGCAGTTGAAAAGACATTCGAAAGGAGATTTGTTGTTAAGTAATGGAGAGGGTAATCTATTGATAATGAAAACAGCAGTTGAAAAGGCAAATGACCAAAAACGAATACGAACAGAAGCACGAGTCATAAGAGTAATGGCCATTTCGACAATATGGCGATGTTTTCGTTTGGCAATGCCATTTTGTTCGGAAGTATATGCACATGATTTTTTATGTAGTATACCATGAATGTCAATAAAGGAACAAAGAGAGTGATTGAAAAATTCACCCCCACCATCACTACGAAGAGTTTTAATACGAGTAGAGAATAAATTTTCAACAAAGGGCTTAAATCTTTGAAAATAGCAAAAATATCATATTTATGGACAAGAGGATATAGGCAAGTATATCTAGTTAAGTCATCAACAAACAAAACGTAGTAGTGATAGCCATTAACAAAAATTTCAGGGGCAGGACCCCATACATTAGTATGCACAAGTTCTAAAGGTGAAGATGAAATAGAACTCGAGACAAAAAATTGGAGTTTCTTCATTTTCCCATACAAACAATACTCACAAACATGATGTTCAGAGGAAACAGAAGGTAAATGAAGCTGCTGAAAAATGGAATTAAGAATTGAGAGGCTAGGATGACCTAACCAGTTATGCCAAAGTAAATAAGTCGAGCGTGTACCAACATGAGTAGCATGGCAAGCAGGAACAGAAGAGACTTATTTTAACAAAGATTGATCAGCCAGAGGAGCGAACAGATATAAGCCATTAACACTACGACCTTTGAACAAAATTTGGCCCTTAGATTTGTCCTGAACATGAAAGTGATTAGAATAAAAAATAACAATGCAATTATTATCAATGCAGGGTTGATGATCAGAGAAAAGATTTGAAGAAATAGAAGGAACTCGAAGTAATTTAGACAAAGTAAAGGAAGAAGGAGTATAGAGGGTTTCGCAACCTTTATGAGATATTTGAAGAGCTTGACCACTAACAAGAGAGACCTGATCTTCCCTGTTATACTCAGATGCTACAGATAAGTTTGATAAATTTGATGTTATATGTGTGTTACATCCTGAATCAGCAAGCCATGATTATAGCATAGAAGTGTTGGATCGGTATGACAACCCTAGAGGGGTGAATAGATTTTAATTAAGCTTTATAAACTTTTTACTACGGTGGGCCCAAATTTAAACAAATAAGTAAACTTTTTAGGAACAATTAGAAATACAAACACCCTAATTAATTTTATCACCCACATAATTCAAATATAAACATTGATCATAAATATGAATAACAAATTCGAGCAATTAATTTTATGCAATTTGTAATAAAGAAAATTAATTGCAAAAATTAAATAGAGTAGGGTTAGAGAAAATGACACTGGAAACTTTATAGTGGTTCGGCAACAACCGGCCTACTCCACTCCCCAAGCGCCTCTTGGGTATTCGATTAAGGAACTTTGACTCTTTCCACAGTAGGAGTCAAACTGTTATAAAACCTTCTTTTTCCGGGAGCAAGAAGAAACCCGATCCTTTCCACGGTTCAGGATCAAACCGTTACAAATGCTCTTTTTAGGGCTTAAGAGCAACCCTTACAAAGGATATGAAATTTGAGAACGAACTTACAAACTCTCTCAAATAGTGGGTATACAAATATTTGCTCACAAATTTGTAAGAAAAAATTCTTACAAATAAAATCCGTCAAATTGGCTAAAAGAAATAAAATTGGAAGCTCAAATATCTCTCAAATAAAAAATCTCCCTCAAGAATATAGAACAAAAATTGAAGCTGTGAAGAGAGATTAACAATGTAGAAATTTGGAGAGAAAATTGAGAGAGAATGAGTTGTATGAAATTTTGAAGGAAGTGGGGTTTAAATAGGTGAGGAAAAGTTGAAAATAAATTTGAAATCGAAATTGAATTTGGGCCATTAGATCTTTAATGATTGAAAATCAAAGTTGAGATTTAATTGAATAAAATAATAATTGATTTTGAAAATATAATATAATAAAATAATATTAATAAATATATATTATTTTTCTTCTTCTAACGTCATTTCTTTTTCTTTCTTTCTTTTCCTGTCAGCTCATGATATTTTTTTTTTCAAACGGCTCTTTCTCTTTCTCTTTCTTTTTTTTAATTTAATTTAATTTAATTTCTTTTTCCTCGTTTCTTTTTCTTTTCCATTTTTTTTAAAAACTAAAACAAATTTCAGTAAATACATCTCGCCACATGTCGCTATTTCATCGGTCCACTTAATTGATTTAGTAGCCACGTCATCCTCTCAATATTTTTCCTTTCAACTTCTTTCGATCATAATTTCTTCGTTTGAGCTCCGATTTGGGTAATTCAAAATTCATTGAA